TGACTTCACACACCATGGCGCATACTTCCGTCTCACTGAAATTTGGTCGTTTCTTCTTTGCAGGTGGTTGTTCTTCCATCTTTTGTTTACAAACTAATATTACGTGCGTTGCTTTCAGCTGATTTCTCGTTCTCTTGTGATTGGTTGATGATTTTGTTAACTTAGCGCTGATTGGCCAACTAACTCCTGCATTGCCATCTACCATTCTACCTTCCGACAAGAGAAGAGAGAACTGAATTTACAGGGTAAACACTAGAGTTACGAACTGCTTACGGAACTGTAATTAAATTTTTGTTATGCGAAATTTACGGGACTGTAAGTAGTCTGCAATATATGGTACTGTATCTCGCTAATATACGTATCTTATGAGGCGTTTTGAGTATCTGGCCAAGGCGGAAGCGTTGAACAAATTATTTTCCTGTGTTGACAAGGGAGCATGCGAACAATCTTGGTGCGTTTGAGGAATGACAGTTTGACAGCGCTGACCCACATTGTGTTCTGAGAAGAGTGTGTAAGATATTTTCAAAACTAAAGGTTCATAAAAGTCCCGGCCCTGACATGGTGCACCCCAGAGTGTTAAGAGAGTTGTGCAACGAGTTTGATGAGCCCCTTAAGATCGTATTCTGTAAATGACTGGATGAGCAAAAGATCCCCAGTGATTGCGAGTCCAATATTCAAGAGAGGCGATCGTCACTCCACGAGTAATTATAGACCAATGAGCCTGACCAGCATAGTGTATAAAGTACTTGGGAGCATTATACTCGTTAGAGATGCCATGATGGAACATCTACTACCAAGCAACCTTGTAAAGGACTGCTAACACGGTTTTAGGCCAGGGCGGTCCAACTTAACACAATTACTCAAGGTACTGGGTGTTTGGACTCAAATTCTGGAACAGGGCGGTAATATCGACAATATATACCAAGACCTATATTTAGTTAAGGCTTTCGATAGTGTACCCCATGAAAGGGTGAGAATTATACTGGAAGGGTATGGAATTCGGGGGAGTGCCCTAGCGTGAATCTGAGACTTTCTTCATGATTGCAAGCAGTAGGTGGTGATTAATGGCATGAAATTGTCCTGTGTAACCGTAAGAAGCGAGGTACCATACAAGGCAGTGTATTGGGCCCGTTGTTGTTTGTTTATTTCATAAATGACATGCCTGAAGCTATACATTCCTCCATACAAACCGGCTAACATGATCAGTAGCGGAGAGGATAAAAGTGACGGAAAATTCGTTGCTTTTCTATTTTTGTTACGAATTTTCCGTTACTTTTTCCCCCCAACTTTCATCCTGTGACTTAATTTTCGTGGTAACTTTCCTCAAACATGTGAAACTGAAGGCAGGCAGTGCTGGCAACCCAGATAGAAAACATTATTATCTGTCAGAGTGTTGTGATGACACCCAGTGTAAGTTCATTCAAGACCAGACTTGACCAACACAACGCTTGAGTAGGTTCAGATATTTTCAAGAGCCAGTTCATGCCCAGTATTTGCCAACAGTGCATAACAGAAATGTGCCAAAGGATAAAAGTTAAAAATATGTTTTACTCAAATTGTTGTTTAGATATAGAGATAAATATATATTCAGTAAAATCGTCATGCAATTTTACATTTGGCTCAGCAGTGATATAAAACTGAGCATGCATAGAGACAATGCGGGTATGTAGCGTATATTTGGCGCCCTAGTAAGTTTTGCTAAGCTAATTGCTCTTCATTGCTGACCTCACTCAAGGAAAGGTTACGACAATTTAAACCCCGGGGATTAACCAGACAGTTTGCCACGTCTAGTGCTAGCTGGGAACAGCTCTGCCACTCTGAAGGCTGAACATCAGAAGGTTAGAGACGAAAATGTGTGCTTGAAGGAAATGAATCCAAGGCTGAAGGCAAAATAGCTAAGTGTACAAACTCTTTTCGTCTTTTGGAGGACGAAATGGACGGTAAGGTTGCAGTTTGGGATAACGTAAAAACATAAGAATGGAGGAAACTGCAGCGGGCCTAATCGCCTATACTAGGCAGCCCCCGTTACACCCAACCCCTATCACTCATACATCTAGCCAACCTATATTTAACGCTTTCCAGTATGCTCGAGTTAATGATGATGTTTGGTAACTTGTTCCAAACCAGTGTTTACCTATCTCGCTCCTAAATCTAAATTTGTCTCCTGTAATATAAAACCATTGCTACGAGTTTGTTCCAAATGCCCGAGATTAGTCTTGTCATCCTCCTCTAAATGCTTTCTAGAGATTCGATATCCATTCTGTAATACAGTGACTAAAACTAAACTGCATAATCCAAGCGAGGTCTCACAGGCGCAAAAGATATAGTCTTAGGATAACCTCGCAAGTCTTGTAACTAACGCTCCCTTTTATGAACCCAAGTACTGTACATAGATAGCCTTGTTTCGAGTGTGGGGGGGGTAGTAAAGTTGTGTATATATATATATATATATATATATATATATATATATATATATATATATATATATATATATATATATATATATATATATATATATATATATATATATATATATATATGCAAGTAAATCACTGTAGTTGCGCGTGATCCAGGTATATGCTGATAACCAGAAGGAAAGAAGAAAACACGAAGTTCCCAAGCGCTTTCGTGTAATTCACATCTTCAGGGGTGAGCACAGACTAAGGAGAAGTACAAAACAAGGTGTATATATACAGAGGAGGGTGAGATCAGGTCCACAATGGTCAGGTATTAGGTAATGACCCTACTAATCTTTAAAAAGCACCGCAACGGTCGGTAGTCAGGTCAGAGGGTAAGGTGACCCAACCTTCTCACCTGGTTACAAATCTTCTTAATTACAAAATTGTCCAGTTTGTACATACCATTACTCAAATTCATGTTGACTGCTTCGGTATGTTTAATGAGACTAGATTCTATAATGTTCCTACTGTCAATTGAATTACAAGGTAATATTGAGGAGGCATTATCCCAGTCAATGCAATGCTTGTTATCCCTCAAATGAACAAACAGAGCATTGGATTCCTGGCCTGTCCTAACACTATATTTATGTTGTTTAAGTCTAGTTACAAGATCTTTACCTGTCTGGCCTAAGTAAAACATATTACATTCCTTGCAAGGAACTTTATAAATGCAACCAATTGTGTTGTTGGGGGAGTTCTTGATTAACATTTGTTTAACAGTGCATGAGTTTTTAAATGCCACATTGACGTTCAGGTTTTTAGTTGTAAAGGAATTTGAGAGAAATTTTTGTGAAATGGTAATACTAAGAGATTCTTATGGTCATGGGTGGGCTTGGGATCAGTTCTATAAAAAGATTTCTTAGTAATGTTCAGGCATTTGTCTATGAAAGATCTAGGGTATTTAAGGTTTGAGCCAATATTATAGATATATTTATATTCCTCATCAATGAATTCCGGACTGCAAATTCTCAAAGCACGTAAAAACATTGTTGAAAATACTGACTGTTTCACTCTATTATGGTGGACAGAATAATAATGAATGTATGAACACACATTAGTAGGTTTTCTATAAATACTGAACTTAAAGGTGTTACCTATTCTGTGTATCAGACAGTCTAGGAATGGCAATTTACAGTCATGCTCTAATTCCACAGTGAATTTGATCGAGGGGGCTAAGTTGTTAAGTTGTGGCAGGAAAGCTTTTAGGTCCTCATTACTTGGCCAAAGACATAATACATCATCTACATATCTAAAGCAGACTACTGAAGGTGGTAAAATATTACTTAATAGTTTCTTTTCAAGGAATTCCATATATAGGTTGCTTAATACAGGTGAGAGTGGATTACCCATTGCCATACCAAATTTTTGAGCATAATATTCTCCATTGAATTCAAATTTACAATCCTTAATACATAGTTTGATGAGTTCGACGAAGTCATCTTTTGAGACGGGCAATGAAATATTATCCAGGGAATCTATGAGGAACTCGAGTAAATCATCACCTGGGACTATTGTATATATATATATATACACAACTTTACTACCCCCCACACTCGAAACAAGGCTATCTATGTACAGTATATATATATATATATATATATATATATATATATATATATATATATATATATATATATATATATATATATATATATATATATATATATATATATATATATATATATATATATATATATATATATATATATATTTTTTTTTTTTTTTTTCTAATTATTTTGATTTTTTTAAATTAAATTCCTGAAGTACTTTTTTGTTTTTTGTTACCTCTCTTATATACGTGTCTCTTTATCTATATTCTGAGCTTGGGCTTACCTGGGAAACCCCCTGTTACTACAAACTTCTCGGTGAAGAGGCTGTGTACTAGCAGGGAAGGACTTATGCAATTTGCTTCCCTGTTCGCCAGAGAGGAAGCAAGCAGTGCTTGCAATGCTGCCACACTATAGTCACATTACAGCACCAACACACATCATTAACAATACAGTCAACTAGGCACTAATACAATGCAGCCAATAGAAAACACGTTGAAAAGGACCACGTGAAGATTAGCCCCAGCTTATATTATATCACATGATGCTCAAATACCCAATGCTACTTGCGCAGGTTAGGTAAGATTAAATGTTATGCTAGGTTAGGTTAGGTTAGGGTGGTTATTCTCGAGGTGAAATAAGCTGAGACTAATCTTGACGTGATCTACTGATAATATGGAAGAGCCAATCTATTGTCAGTTCATCTTTGCTTCAGGGTGTGCCATGTGCAGGTCTTCGTGTTTGTACCTGCAGCGGCGGGCAGTGATGACGATGGTGGTAAAGATTGTGGTGACGATGGTTGTGGTCGTTAATGCCATTTCGCTGATGATGTACAGCCCCAGTGGTTCTGTGCAGACCCCGGTGTTATCTCCGATGAGTTCAGAAGGCCGCTCCAAGGCGTCTCCTCCGCCATCGAGTAATTCCTGTATCTGCTGTGCTACCCGGTAAATCTACGACGTTTTCCCAATTACACAAGAGACTACAGTAGGTTACAGGTGCGCAGTTAATGATATCAACTAATACTGTCATGTCTTGCCCAAGTAAGAGTGTAAACAGGTGTGTTGTTGTTGTGACAGGGGAGGGGTGTGTGGGAGCGTAGTGAGGGCTTGAGGCAGCAGGTGCGACAGGTGTGCCACGCCTTCAATGTCTCTACCTCTGTCACCAACTTCCAGCTCAACAACATCCTAGTGGACGAGGGGCGACGACTCCTGTACTGCAGCGTACCGAAGGTGGCTGGCACTCTCTGAGGTTACTAACAGTCACAAAGGTCACTAGCAGAGTGCAAGGGTTGGGTTTACAAAGTTCACCAGCAAAGGTCACTAGTTGGGTTTGCAAAGTTCACCAGCAAAGGTCACTAGTTGGGTTTGCAAAGTGCACTAGCAGAGGTCACAAAGGTCACTAGTTAGGTTTACAAAGTTCATTACCATAGGTCACAGAAGACAGTTACGCTGCCTTTTTTCTACAGGCGCCAGAAATTTCTTCTGGATTATTGTGCTCCATACCTCCATACTAGGAGTTTTACACGTTGTTATATTCAGCAGCCTTTGACAGTCCTTTTATCATCTGAAAAGTTTATGGAGATCATTTTGCATAATTATCTTCTTCACTTGTTAACTTTCAGGCAATCTTTGTTTCATCCTCAAACTTGATGATGTGACTCATAAGTTTCTCTATATCGTTGACGCAGTTCAGAAAGAAGGTCTGCGTCTCTGGCTGGGTCCTTGTGATATGCTCAAGTTCTTTCCGGATTGCTTCTACACCGTTTATAATCACTCTTTGATTCCTGTCTATGAGACAATGTTTGATCCATTCTAATATTTTAGCTGTGACACCAAAAGCCTTCTTGAAAACTAGTTGTTAACAATAATAATAATAATGATACCTGTAATAATAATAATAATAATAATAATAATAATAAAAACAAATTATAATAATAATAATAATAATAATAATAATAATAAATAAATAATAATAATAATAATAATAATAATAATAATAATGTATTACGCCAGTGAATTACAAACTTACAACTTTATTTTTTTAATATAAATTTAATTTCTCAAATAATGAAATAATGTTCTGGTACACACAGGTAGCCAGTACCAGCTGGAAGAGGCTATGGCTGGCGATGACGGGTGCTACTAACACCCTGGAGGAGACGAGGCTGCTAACCAGGTGTGACTTCTTCACATGTGTCAATATTGAGTTTCCCGAAAAAACAAAAAACATGACTGGTTAGGGAAGGGTTGCCTGTTGAAAGGGACTGTTTGTTAAGGAGGCTACCTGGCAAGGAGGGGTTGCTTGGTGGGGGAGGGGACTGCCAATTAAGAACATAAGAACATAAGAAAGTGGGATACTGCAGGAGGCCGACTGGCCCATGCAGGGCAGATCCCTTTCACACCCATCCCAGCACTTCCATGTGCCTATCCAACTTCGTCTTGAAGCTCCCTAGCGTCCCCGATCCTACTATAGCACTCGGTAGCCTATTCCACATATCCACAACTCATTACCAAACCAGTGCTTGCCTATATCCTTTCTGAATCGGAATTTATCTAATTTAAAGCCATTTGTTCTAGTTATTTCGTTATTACTGAACTTCAGAACATCTTCCATTTTACCCTTTGTTAATCCCACTTACCCACTTGTACACCTCTATCATATCTCAACCTTACGCCTCTCTAATGAATGTAAGCCTAAGCTTTCAGTCTTTCTTCATATGGAAGGTTTCTAATATTATGGATCATTTTGTCATTCTTCTTTGTACTCTCCAAAGAATCTATGTCCATTCTATAATAAGGACACCAGAACTGAACCGCATAATCCATGTGTGGCCTCACTAATGCTAGGTAAAGTTTCAAGATAACGTCAGCAGTTCTGTTACTCACAGACCTAGATATGAACCCAAGAATCCTGTTTGCCTTGTTGCGAACGCTAATACATTGTTTTCTGTTTCAAGTCGTTGCTAACAAATACACCTAGATCTTTTTCACAAACTGAGTTTTCTATTTCCGTGTTACCTAGTTTATACTTTAACGTTTGTATTCGTCTTCCTATCTGTAGTACCTTGTTTATCAGTATTAAAATTCATTTGCCAGTTTACTGACCACCATGTAAGGATCTTAGATCTCTTTGAAGGTGTTCAAAGTCACTGTCTGAATTTATCACTCTCCCCATTTTGGTATCATCTGCAAATTTACTAATCCTACTAGTTATGCCTAAATCAAGATCATTAATGAATATAACAAACAGCAGAGGGCCTAATACAGATCCCTGGGGAACTCCGCTTTTGACCGCACCCCAGTCTGACTTTAATCCGGCATTCATTGATGACTGGCAACGATTTTATGGCAACGACTACCTGTACTGTCGCGACGGAGTACACTTGTCTCGTGAGGGGGTAAAGACGTTGTCTGCATCCCTGGAGCGTGAAATTGTCACTCAGAAGGGGGGGGTTTCGCCAGTAGAGAGGGGTCAGGAAAATGGAGTCAAAAACAAGGAGGTCCTGGGAAGTAGTGAAACAGAAGTAGATAATGCTGAAAATATAAGTTAGTCATAATAACAAACATCAAAGTAATAAATGTAAAACAAAGATAAAACGGAAGAAATATATTGGTGTTTATTATACTAATGGTAGAAGCCTGTGTAACAAATGAAGCCAGCTCCAAGATATTGCATTGTTAGTAAAGAGAACATAGATATAATTGCAATAACGGAAACATGGATAAATTCAAACAGCAAGCATTTTTAGCAAATTTCATATTCAGGATATAACCTATTTAAATTTGACAGAGTAGGGAAGGAGAGGTGGCGGTGTAGCAGTGTATATCCAGAGATGCATTAAAAGCTGCAATAAATCAAACATTAAAACAAATAGCGACAATGAAAGTATTTGGGTAGAGATTGGTGAGGAGCAGTGAATCCGTAGTCATTGGTGTTATATATAGACCACCTAATTTGGTGGAACGATGGTAAGTGCTATGGGAGGAAATAAAGAAGGCATCTGATAGAAACAATGTGTATATTCTAGGCGTTTCAACTTTTCAGGCATAGATTGGAAAAAATCAACTTAGCGATAATGAATCGAAGATTTTTCTGAAGTAGTGAGGATAGTTTTTTATATCAATTCATAAGCTTCGCACTAGAAATAATATCACTCGATTTAGTTCTCAGTAATAATGAAATCTGACAAAGATATTTGGGATTGGAGGCGAACTAGGAAACAGTGATCATAAAGCCATATGTTGCAACATAATATGGGATGGCAGGAAGAAGGAAAATTCGGCCTTGATCCCGGATTTTAGGAAGGCTAATTACGGTAGCATAAGGAGGGAGACCCTGAGGATGACCCTATGGTCAAAGGAATTAATCCCCACCTCCGGAAACTGTCAACAGGACGCAGGATAACCCCGAATTTAATTTAGTAACTACTTATGAACAATTTATTAGAGCAATCAATAATGCCCAAAATAAACACATCCTAAAAAGAAAATTCAGATCGTCTGGAACCAGCAAAATGGATGAATAATAGACTCTTAGATCTTCTAGGGAGAAAAGAAAGGAGTATATAGAAAAGTTAAGAAGGCGAAATCACTTGCTTGGTTACTATCAGAACCTAACCTAGACGGTAAAAACAGAAATTAGGAAAGCAAGAGAAATTATGAAATCAAGGTAGCAAAACGAACCGAAAAATAACCCACAGCTTTTTATCAACTGTATAAATCAAAGGTTAGAGATACAATAGGTCCCCTTAAAACTACGACAGGAGAAATGACTGATGATGAGTTAGAAATGTATGTCGTTAAATAGTCATTTTAGCTCGTATTCCACAAAATGAAAACCTAGCACAGTTTCAGAAGTTCATAAAAGGTATACTGACAGTATAGAAAATATGTTGATGAATATCAATATTACTAGTAACGATATTAAGTAATTAACAAACTGAAGCCTCATAAATCGCCTGGTCAGACGGTATGCTAGAATATTAAAAAGAATGTAGAGATGAGTTGAGTAATCCATTAGCAGTTTTATTTAATAAGTCATTAAAATCGGGCCTAGTGCCGAAGCTTGAAACTTGCAAATGTAGTTCCGATTTTCAAAAGAATTGATAAATCAATAGCATCAAATTGCATCCCATTAGTCTCCGTCCAATCATAGGCAAGTTGCTGAGAGTCAATTATTGCTACAAAATCAAGCCACCTTGAAACATTCAACTAATTCATTCTTCTCATGCAGGTTTACTTGGGACGTTCTTGTCTCACAAATTTGTAGCTTTCTCCCAAATATTTGAAGCGGTGAATAATGATACAAGTCATAGCGATATAATTTATTTAGATTTCAGTAAAGCATTCGATAGAGTCCCTCATGAGAGATTGATAAGGAAGGTGACACATGGAATAGGTGGATCAGTATTAAAATGGATTAGGTCATGGTTAACTGGTAGGAAACAAAAGAGTCAGCATAGATTAAGTCCAGACTGGGGAGACGCGGTCCAAAGCAGGAGTTCCCCAGGGATCTGTGATAGGCCCTCTGCTGTTTGTTATATTCATTAATGATCTTGATTTAGGCATAACTAGTAGGATTAGTAAGTTGCAGATGATACCAAAATGGGGAGAGTGATAAATTCAGACAGTGACTTGAACACCTTCAAAGAGATCTAGATACCTTACATGGTGGTCAGTAGGCTGTAGATAGTTTTAATACTGATAAATGCAAAAGAATTACTACAGATAGGAAGACGAATACGAAACGTTAAGTATAAACTAGGTAACACGGAAATAGAAAACTCAGTTTGTGAAAAAGATCTAGGTGTATTTGTTTGCAACGACTTGAAACCTAGAAAACAATGTATTAGCGTTCGCAACAAGGCAAACAGGATTCTTGGGTTCATATCTAGGTCTGTGAGTAACAGAAGTGCTGACGTTATCTTGAAACTTTACCTAGCATTAGTGAGGCCACACATGGATTATGCGGTTCAGTTCTGGTGTCCTTATTATAGAATGGACATAGATTCTTTGGAGAGAGTACAAAGAAGAATGACAAAAATGATCCATAATATTAGAAACCTTCCATATGAAGAAAGACTGAAATGCTTAGGCTTACATTCATTAGAGAGGCGTAGAGTTAGGGGAGATATGATAGAGGTGTACAAGTGGGTAAGTGGGATTAACAAGGGTAAAATGGAAGATGTTCTGAAGCTCAGTAATAACGAAAATAACTAGAACAAATGGCTTTAAATTAGATAAATTCCGATTCAGAAAGGATATAGGCAAGCACTGGTTTGGTAATAGAGTTGTGGATATGTGGAATAGGCTACCGAGTGCTATAGTAGGATCGGGGACGCTAGGGAGCTTCAAGACGAAGTTGGATAGGCACATGGAAGTGCTGGGATGGGTGTGAAAGGGATCTGCCCTGTATGGGCCAGTCGGCCTCCTGCAGTATCCCACTTTCTTATGTTCTTATGTTATAACCTTTGGTGTCCCAGAAACATTATACGTGTATTTAACCCAACGTCGTTTCCGTAGGGATGAGATCCATACCCACCCGTACTTACGGACGCTGAACCACCCGAGTTTTGAAGACACGAGGTGGGTGATGTTGGCCTCCTACAGGAAGATGTTGTTCGTGAGACATCCCCTGCAGCGGGTTGTCTCCACTTTCAAGGACAAGCTGGAGGGTTATACGGGACGTGAGAGGTTGGAATTCCCTAAATATATCAAGCAGAAGATAGAAGAAAGATTTGGGTGAGTTTATCCTTGCCAAAGTTCACAAGGTGGACATTGAGCATTAAGGTGAGTCAGGTGAATTAACGATTGACAGGTGTTGAGGTGAGTCAGGATATCATCTTCATAAAAAATTTAAGGCCATTTTTCATGCTTGCATGAGTTAGCCTCGATTACCTGATGGCAGCTCTCTAAGCTCAACGGTCTCTTGCAGTCTCCTGTCAAGTTCTTAACTCTAATGTCACTTGTTACAACCTCTACCCATTTCATTCTTGGCCTACCACTGGCTCTCTTCACCTCCAAATTTAGACTCGTGTATCTCTTGTCCCGGTTGGTGCTATCCAGTCTTTCCATATGCCCAAACCATTTCAACTTGCCTCTACGCAGAACTTCACCAATATTCTCAGTACCCAGTAGCCCTCTTTGCTCTGAGTAGGGTTTCCTATCTTTCAACGTCACATTACACACCCACCTCACCATTCTCATTTCAGCTCGCTCAAGCCTGCGTATGTCATCTTGTGTAAGTGATTGTGGGGGTATGAGATATTAGTTCACACTCAGGATGGGATGGAGAAAGGAAACTCACAATGTGCTCACTGTATACATATTGTATTGGATGTACAATGCAGATTGTTGCTGGGTAGGTAGCATGGTAATAAGCGTTGAGTAGAGAGAGCTGGGTGGTGAGAGTGCCCAGAGTGAGGGCACGTGGCTTGAGGGAAGCCAAGGTCGCTGGCGGGAACGGCAGCCGCCAGGCTGGCGCGGAGGAGGAGGTGTTGCTGGCTGGTGGCACTGTGTAGAAAGAGGCTGGTCGATACGATACGAAGTCTTTAGTTAAGAGGTGAAAGAAGATTATTAGGAGTTGAAGGAAAAGTGGTGAAACTGAAATACAGTAGGAGTAGAAAGAATCTGGGCTCAACCAGATCGCTTCATCTTTCCTATTGGTGTTTTGTCTTTGTTCTGCTCCCTTGGGTCGTCAGACCTTTGTATTAATATTGGTTTATTTATATAATGCTGCTTATTATTATTATTTGTTATTGTTGGAGTTAGTGAGCCCGCCCAGGTCCTTGTGTAACTGGGAGGGTAGTCACATTTTTTTTTTTTTTTTTTTTGAGGTGTTAGTTAAGTGTTAGTTGTGTTAGTCTAAAGGTACACTGTATGGAGAGGCCTGCCAGGTTCTTAGTGGAGCTGGTTGGTCACTCTCATCTTTATTCCTCTAGTAATGTTTTATGTAGAAATGTGTATGTTGAGGCAGGAGGTGGTTCAATTACTTCTTCCTGGCTGATATAGCTGGGAGGGTAATCACATTATTATTATTAATATTATTAATATTTTTTTATTTTTTTATTTATTTTTTATTTAATTTTTTTTTGAGTTAGTGAGCCCGCCCAGGTCCTTGTGTAGCTGGGAGGGTAGTCACATTTTTATTTATTTATTTTTTTTTTTTTACTAAGATGTTAGTTCAATGTTAAATGTTAAATGTTAAATGTTAAATATTAGTTATGTTAGTCTAAAGGTACGCTGTATGGAGAGGCCTGCCAGGTTCTTGTGGAGCTGGTAGGTCACTCTCATCTTTTATTCTCTCTATTAATGTTTTATATGTATATTGGGGCAGGAGATGGTTCAATTACTTTCTTCCTGGCTGATTTAAACCAACTGTGTTCTTGGAATTCTTCGTTGTCTATATTATTTATCCAGTTTTGATATGTTTCTGTGTTAAGTTCAGTCACTTTTTTCCAAATATTTACAGCTTTGTTGTGTATATCTACATTGATTGCTAAGAGGTTTGCTCTCTTGTGTAGCTGTTCATTATTGATGTGGTCTGTATATTTTATGTTATATATAAATCTGAGGGCTATATTTTGTACTGCTTGTAACCTTTTAATGCACGTTTTACTAAGGGTGTTCAATGGGATGGGTGGGTAGTCCATAATTGATTTAACAAGGGCAATATAAATCTTTCTTTTGTTATTAATGCTAAGGTTCTTAAAGCGTTTTATTTTTGATAATCTTATTCTTGCCTGCCGTTCTTTATCTTTTAAGTATGTTATATATCCTCTTTTTGTTAGTTTTAATACAAGCATCCTACCTTCAGTGTCGTATGGGTATAGTTCCTGGTCGACTATTACTGGACTTGTTTTAATCTTGGCTATTGGTATTATCTTGAATTTGTTCTTATTTGTCCTGATTTTCCATTTTTTCTCAAAATCATTTATGTTTTTTATCGCTCTTACCGTGTAAAGTGCCATAAATTGAGTTGATTTTCCTGGGTATGATACTATTTGAGTAATATCATCAGCAAACATTACATATTCGCTAAAGGGGGTAGGTTGAGGTGTGTCTGAAGTATAAATTGTATATAGTGTTGGAGAAAGGCATCCTCCTTGAGGTACTCCACTCTCAAGATTAAACATAGTTCCCAAAAAGTTTCCAATTTGAATTTGTGCTCTCCTATCATCTAAATAGTTACACAATATTCTTAGCAAGTATTCGTTAAGTCCCAGTTTTAATATTTTATATTTCAAGCCTAAATGCCAAACTTTATCAAAAGCCTTAGAAACATCCCTTAAAATTATATTGATCTGGTTACCCTTGCTTTTTTCTATTGCAATTATTTCCGTTATTGTAGCTATTGCAGTTAGGGTATTTCTATTGGGCATAAATCCATGTTGTCTGTTGTTAGTTTTCCCATGTTGTGTTAAAAAGGCTATAAGTCTTGAATTTAATATTTTTTCCAATAGTTTCCCGGTAATTTCTAATAAAGATATTGGCCTGTAGTTTAATATTTCCTTATTGTCCTTACCCTCCTTAGGAATAAATATCATTTTAGCATATTTTAGTTTGTCTGGAAAGTAACCAGTTATTAAGCATGCGTTATAAATGTTTAATAGTGTATTTAAAATGTTTTCAGGTAGATTCATGATCATATTTCGTGTAATACCTGTGAGCCCAGGGGCTTTTTCCTTAAATTTCCTCAGACAGTGCATCATTTCTCCCATGGTTATTATTTGATTATTAGGTAATAAGTTATAGTCTATATATTGCCTTGGGGTGATTCTATGTATTTGTCTTCCATTTCTTCTTCTATCCTTTCTTCGTGTTCACTATCAAAATCTTCATTTTCCTCATCTGATATTTTAAAAACTTTTACCCATTCCCTTTTGAATGCTGACTCTTGTTCATTTTCCTCGTAATTTTGTTCCATTTTGGTCTTTAATGTATGGTGTTTTTTGCTTGTTGTGCCCCATCATCTTGTTTATGGAAGTCCAAAATGTTTTTGTGTCTTTAGTCATGTCAGCCGCCATTATAATATCATTCCATTTTTTATTGTTTGCTTCCTTACATGCGTCTCTTAATTTTATCTGTAGTGCTATCTGTGTCGTATATAGCCATCTGTTACTGCCGTGTCTTTCCATATACCTGTTTATTTCATTGTAATAGGTCTGGATTAATTTAACTTCTTCTGGTAGTCTGTTGTTGGGTAATGTTCTAAAGTGTGAAGTAGGAGTGTGTTTGGTTATAGATGTTTTTATTGCTGAGTGCAGTCTGTCCATTTCTGAGTCTATATCTTCTATTGTTTTTCCTTGTAGGTTAATCGAGTGGTGATTACTTAAGTCGTCTTTGAAGCTGTCCCAGTCTGTTTTACTTATTTTCAGTCTCTTTTTTATTGGTATCTGTATGGGGGCTTGTTGACAAGTGTTAGTATGATTGGCAGATGGTCACTGCCTGTAAGAGGTCCCTGTATTATATGGTAATTGAAAAGGCTTTGTTGTTGGTAAAAATTTTGTCTGGTGTCGATTGTGTATTGTGATTTCTCCAGGTTGGAAAGTTAGGACCCAGATGATTGATTTTCCCTAAATTTATTAATTGATTAAGGGCGTTTCCCACGACGTTATTATTTGTATTGTCAAAAATCCTATGTCTGGCGTTAAAGTCTCCTAAGATGTACATCGGATGACTATTGTTAGCCAATTTTAATAGGTCTTCTATAGGTAAGTAGGGTCGTCTCGGTGGGAGATAAGTAGTAGCAATAATTACGTCTCCTTGAGTTGTATTTATTTTTATTGCTAGAAATTCATCCTGGAAGTCATCAATTAGTTTAAATTTTAAGTTTCTTTTAACCGCTATCGCTACTCCGTCATTTTTCTCGCCCGATTTATTTCTTTGGTTTACATAATAGTTAAAGAGTTTTATGTTGTTGTTTTCTGTCTCACCGTGACTGTTTATTAGTATAATGTCAGGGTCAATTTCTTGATATATATTACTTAGGTTAATTCTCTCGGTCTTCCAGTTTCTTACGTTGTGTTGTATTATTCTTAAAGTTCTTACTGTTTGTCTATTGTCCATTATTTCTTATACTTGGATTGTGACTGTTGAAGTGGAGACCTATCATCCTGTTTCCCGCTTCTGACTCTTCTAAACTCTGACGGGTCTACTATTTTAAAGTCTTTGGTCGTAATCTTTAGTTTGTCCGTAGTAATTAGTGACCAGACATAATCTTCACTTAGGGATTTTTCTTGATATGTCCACTTGTATATCCCTCCTTCACAGTTTTTTACTATTGTCCCTCCTGTTGGTCTCGATGTTGGGATTCCATGTTTTGTTGTAGTGATAACTTTTAATCCAATTTCTTCAGCAGATTCAGGTTGTATATTGTGATCAGAGGCTGGTCACAGCGGTGTCAGGCCTTATAAGGCGGGGGTAGGAGTGGGTAGATAGTTGACCCCCGCTCCGTGGGCGGCGCTGGAGGCGTAAGCTGGGGAATTCGAGAAGGTTCGGTGCTTGTAGGGGAGGAATCCACGACATGATCATGTTTCACTGCCATGTAACATCACACTTCTCACACCAGTTGCTTATAAAGTGTACATCTTTCCTTTAATGTGGAGGGAAAGTGCTCTTCCCGTCAATAACGGCATAAACTCCCTCCAGCCACTTCTGACTCTAGCAATTATTGAGGTTGTCTCAGCACCCAGCTAGTAGAACTTATCGATACAATCCAAGGACATATCCCCAATGTTGAGTTTCTCCAGCCTTGCTGTGGGCACATTGTTACCTGCACATACAGAACACTTAAAGACGACAACATCCTGCAGTCTACCATCCTCTCTACTGCACCTACTGTTCACCCATCTTCCACACTCACTGCACATTATTGAGGTACTGCCAACACCTGTCTTAGAGACAGCACATGGCCATTTTCCAATATCCACCACGGGTCCCTCACCCACACAGAGGATCACATAAGTCAGTAGAATATATTTCTATAAATTTTCCCTAGGTCTCCGAGAAACCCACAAACACCCATGATCTAACTAGAACAGATCTGTCGAACAGTGAAAGAAGTCTCTCTGTGCATTAATATTACTACTAATACTACTAACAGTAATAATTTATTCTGTATAAAAGAAGGTATTGGTAGAAGTATACAGTGTCCACACTGTATATATTATTTAATAGGATGTGCACCCAAACACAGCACAATTATTCGGCATTGTTATTAGAATAATGTCTCAAGGAAAACCACAATCCAACTAGTCAGTATATGGCTCTTGTAGAAAAATAACACACTGCCAGCCTCAGATGAAGAAAGAGCTCGTTCTATGTCACTAAGCTCCACCCTACAGCTGCACGCAGGCAGATCTGTTCTCGTTAGATCATGCAAACACCTAACAAATATCACATTCATCTCCACTCATCCGTAATCCAAAATCATGCAGACTCATAACAGATATAATCTCTTAAAAATTTCGTGGAATAGTCTTGGTTACATCGACTCGCTGTTTGCAGTACCAATGTTTGCATGCCAAAATTCTGTGTATGACGAATATTACCGATTAATAATATATCTTTTTCATCTATCTATCTATCTATCTATCTATCTATCTATCTATATACGAGTATATGTTTCTATCTATCTATCGTTCTCAGCACCAGATTGGGAGAGTTGGTGAGCTTCGAGGACTTTGTACGATTCGTTGCAGATCAGGGTGAGGACGAGCCGGTGGAGATGGACCCACACTGGCGTTCCCTACACCAGGTGAGACCCAGGTCCTCCTCAAAGGACTGAGAAGGAAAGGGGGTGGAGAGAAGGACCTGAATGTATCTGTACCTGAGCCAGTGTTGGTTAAGTCTGGTCTTGAATGAACTCACACTCGGTGCCGTCATAAAACTCTTTGGCAGATTGTTCCAAGAGTTCACAATTCTTCGAAAAAGTTTGCCTTCACCGTTTTCTTCAACCTTAAGCTGTAACCTCTAGTGGGGCGGGAGTCCGCCAGCTCCAGATATGGACGCTCGACTAAATAATGTCCTCCGAGGTGTTTATAGACTTCTATTAAATCTCCCCTTGCACGTCTATAGTATAAGTTAAGCCAATTGTAGGTGCTCTAATCTCTCTAAGTAACTGAGGTGGTGTATAGTGCAGGTACCAGTTTGGTGGCCCCCCTTTTGATGTTTTCGATCAACTGATATTCTCTAGCAAATCTCGGGGAAGCACCTCACTCTTAAAGATCGTTACGAGGTCTAGATATCTGAACAACCTTCTTATAAGACCTAATGGTTTAGTTTCTTGATGCACCTTCTCACAATGGGCAGAGAACTTCAGTTCATTGTCAACATACCCAGGTGCATCTTATTAATTGTATTACTATTATTATTATCATCATAATTATTATTATTTTATTTTAGCCCCCCAGGCCTTGATGTGGGTCATTAAAAATGATCTGTGCCGGGTGGGCTAATGCCCGTAAAAAAAAAAAAGTATCTTTGCATAGGGAAGTGTATAGCTTCTAGCTCTAGCACGTCATTTATGAAGCAAACAATACACTGCCCTGTGGTACCCCGCTTGTCACGGGTACACATGAATTCGTTTCATTAATCACCAGACACTACATGCGATCATGAAGAAAGTCTCTGATCCACGTAAGAACACTTCCCCGAATTCCTTAACCTTCTTGTTTAATTCTCAGCCTTTCATGGGGTACGCTGTCGAACGCCTTGGCAAAACCTAGGTGCATCCTCTTGCATTTCGCGACGTAGTATCTTAGCAGCCATTCTTTTAACCACTTCTGAAGCTGACAGAGATCTTTCTGTTGCTCTTTAAATTTTCTGTATAAATCTTTGGTAGATGGCATTGATTTTATGGTTGTACCCAATCGTTTAGTTCTAATCAAGAAGGAAGAATATATCCATCTTCAATTGCGAATAACAACAAAAATGCTACATCGATCGACACAATCACATCATGAAGACAATATTGATGATCTTATGAATTCACTGTTCAATTTTTGTCGCTCAACAACGAAGGCCCAAATGTCAACACGCTTTGTTACAGAGATGCAACACGACACACCCGCACGACGTGGGATGTTAAAGAAGGGAGCAGGTAATGGTGGAAGGGAGGAAGCCATTTAGATTGGTGGAAGGGAAGATAGGAAGTTAAATAAATATGTGGGAGGAAGTGAAGAAAACTTAAATTAGTACCTCACTAAATACAACCACAGTGCCTCCCCTATTCAACTGAACACCCTCGTCCTCCACAGATGTGTAATCCCTGCACTATCGAGTACGGCTTCATCGGCAAGTTTGAGAATCTGCGTGAGGACTCAAGTTACGCCATACAGTGGATGGGTGCAGGGATGGACAACCTGCCCCGGGCATTATACTTCACCTCATCCAGTCTCTACGCTCCTGGCTACCTGGCTCTACTCAACACCCACCTCAGACAAGCTTTCCTCCACAAGTACCTCCTCGACTACATCAGCTTCGACTACCCCTTCTTCGTGTAAACATCGAGAACTGCGTGGCTACATAACCTACATTCGAGAAAGATTCAAAGAACAAGGCTAAACCACCGCTCTCAAAGGGTTACACCAAAGTCTTCAAAGGTATAAAACCCTGTCGTAGTACGTAACTATATCACGGTGAATTCGAATGATTGACTAAAACTAAACACCTTTACGTGCAGTATACAAAATGTAAATTAGCCAAGTTATAACACAAAAAGATTTAAGGTTCAAAGAAGTTTATAACGAATCAAATGCATAATAATTATACGTGTAATTTTCCTATATTCTGTCATCAATCAAGATAGTCTCATTTTCACACATGGCTGTACCTTTTTTACACATGTTAGTTACGATTTGTTTTTAGATAATTGTATTTTGATACATCGTGGCACCCCTGCTATAGTGGTAATGATTATAATTGTAATTACTAGAGGAAATAATATCCTCGATTTAGTTCTCAGTAATAATGAAAATCTAGTAAAAGATGTTGGGATTGGAGACGAACTAGGAAACAGTGATCATAAAGCCATATATTTTAACATAATATGGGATGGCAGGAAGAAGGAAAATTCGGCCTTGATCCCGGATTTTAGGAAGGCTAATTACGGTAGCTTAAGGAGAGACCTAAGGGATGACCCTATGGTCAAAAGATTAATCCCCACACCTCCGGAAACTGTCAACTTAGGACGGATAACCCCGAATTTAATTTAGCAGCTGCTTATGAACAATTTATTGCGACAATCAATAATGCCCAAAATAAACACATCCCTAAAAAGAAAATTCAGATCGATACGGAACCAACCAAAATGGATGAATAATAGACTCTTAGATCTTCTAGGGAAAAAGAAAGGAGTATATAGAAAAGTTAAGAAAGGCGAAAATCACTTACTTGGTTACTATCAGAACCTAACAAGACAGGTAAAAACAGAAATTAGGAAAGCAAAGAGAAATTATGAAATCAAGGTAGCAAACGAATCGAAAAATAACCCCAAAGCTTTTTTGTATAAACTGTATAAATCAAAGGTTAGAGATACAATAGGTCCCCTTAAAACTACGACAGGAGAAATGACTGATGATGAGTTAGAAATGTGTAGTACGTTAAATAGTCATTTTCGCTCCGTATTCACAAATGAAAACCTAGCACAGTTTCCAAAAGTTCATAAGGTATATAACGACAGTATAGAAAATATGTTGATGAATATCAATATTACTAGTAACGATGTGCTTAAAGTAATTAACAAACTGAAGCCTCATAAATCGCCTGGTCCAGACGAGGTATATGCTAGAATATTAAAAGAATGCAGAGATGAGTTGAGTAATCCATTAGCAGTTTTATTTAATAAGTCATTAAAATTGGGCCTAGTGCCAGAAGCTTGGAAACTTGCAAATGTAGTTCCGATCTTCAAAAAGGGAGATAAATCAATAGCATCAAATTACCGTCCCATTAGTCTCACGTCAATCATAGGCAAGTTGCTAGAGTCAATTATTGCTACAAAAATCAGAAGCCACCTTGAAACATTCAACTTAATTCATTCTTCTCAGCAGGGGTTCACCCAGGGACGTTCTTGTCTCACAAATTTGCTTAGCTTTTTCTCAGAAGTATTTGAAGCGGTAGATAATGATAAGTCATATGATATAATTTATTTAGATTTCAGTAAAGCATTCGATAGAGTCCCTCATGAGAGATTGATAAGGAAGGTAGAAGCACATGGAATAGGTGGATCAGTATTAAAATGGATTAGGTCATGGTTAACTGGTAGGAAACAAAGAGTCAGCATAAATGGATTAAAGTCAGACTGGGGTGCGGTCAAAAGCGGAGTTCCCCAGGGATCTGTATTAGGCCCTCTGCTGTTTGTTATATTCATAAATGATCTTGATTTAGGCATAACTAGTAGGATTAGTAAATTTGCAGATGATACCAAAATGGGGAGAGTGATAAATTCAGACAGTGACTTTGAACACCTTCAAAGAGATCTAGATACCTTACACGAGTGGTCAGTAGACTGGCAAATGAATTTTAATACTGATAAATGCAAGGTACTACAGATAGGGAAGACGAATACAAACGTTAAGTATAAACTAGGTAACACGGAAATAGAAAACTCAGTTTGTGAAAAAGATCTAGGTGTATTTGTTAGCAACGATTTGAAACCTAGAAAACAATGTATTAGCGTTCGCAACAAGGCAAACAGGATTCTTGGGTTCATATCTAGGTCTGTGAGTAACAGAACTGCTGACGTTATCTTGAAACTTTACCTAGCATTAGTGAGGCCACACATGGATTATGCGGTTCAGTTCTGGTGTCCTTATTATAGAATGGACATAGATTCTTTGGAGAGAGTACAAAGAAGAATGACAAAAATGATCCATAATATTAGAAACCTTCCATATGAAGAAAGACTGAAAAGCTTAGGCTTACATTCATTAGAGAGGCGTAGAGTTAGGGGAGATATGATAGAGGTGTACAAGTGGTTAAGTGGGATTAACAAGGGTAAAATGGAAGATGTTCTGAAGCTCAGTAATAACGAAATAACTAGAACAAATGGCTTTAAATTAGATAAATTCCGATTCAGAAAGGATATAGGCAAGTACTGGTTTGGTAATAGAGTTGTGGATATGTGGAATAGGCTACCGAGTGCTATAGTAGGATCGGGGACGCTAGGGAGCTTCAAGACGAAGTTGGATAGGCACATGGAAGTGCTGGGATGGGTGTGAAAGGGATCTGCCCTGTATGGGCCAGTCGGCCTCCTGCAGTATCCCACTTTCTTATGTTCTTATGTTCTTATGTAATTATGTCCGTAGTTGTAGAAGTGAACCAATGCGAACCTATACAGTGGGACGATTTTTTTTAATCAAGTGGTTATTTGTCCGGAAATGAATTAACTTTCTTCTGCAATATGTGGCATTCGTTCTGATTAGTCAAGGCTGGTGGCGCTGATCCTAGATTACTGAATTCAACCAATTTAAACCCTAACCTAACCTAATCAAACCTAATCTAAACATGTTTGCAAGTGACCGAATTCAGTAATCTAGGATCACCGTCATCAGCCTCGACTAATCAGAACGAATGCCACAAAGCCTACTGCAGAAGAAAGTTAAGGGCCATGACTGGACAAATAATCACTGCCTAGAGGAGACGGAGATCTGGATATACAGGAGCCTCCACCCAAAATACTTGTAAGACGGATAGACAGACACATTTCCATTAAATAAACTTTATAATTTACATTATCCGATCGGCCTGTTAAAGGTTTGGGCGGTCGGTCGCCATACAAGTTCACAATGACTCAGCACGTACATTGTATAAAGACAGTGCACGTACACAAACACTGACAAACAATAAGTCGATTCGACTAACAGGATAGCCCAAGAAAATCGATAAAAGCTTATTACCTCTGAAAGCCTTTCCAAAATCACCAATAAATATGACACAAGATGCTAAGTCTCGCCAATAAGAGCAGCGTCCTTCAATCTCTCCCATATTAACAGGAAGTAACTGTAACGTGGTGGCTTATTGTCGCGAGGAACAATAGTTAGAACGATTCTGATCCTGTTGGAGGAATACAATGATAGCTTGTTTGCCTCTCATGTTACATCCCGGGTTCAATCCCCGGTCGTATGGACCTAACAGTCTGGGTTTTTTTTTCCGTTACTCCGGTTTCCTCCTGTACCAACACCTGACTATGAAGGATAAACCCATGAGGTTAACTCATTAAATTCAAAGAGTTAACATATCAATCTCACTCACTGAGCCAATTCATCGTACATAAGGTGTTAATTTCTCTTGTAATCAGATGTTAAATTGATCATCACAAACGAAATGACACTGAAAGCAACTGAAGGCTGAAATTCAGACTGAAATACTGAACCAAGATAACTGGCCAAATCGGAAGACTTGGAATTTTTCTGACTCGTTTCTCAAAGGCTCATAAGATGAATACTTTTCGTAACTGAAGATGTAAAAATGTATATACCGTATAACTGGGTGATTCAAGGTGAAGCACAACAATTACATGCAAAAATAACTTGAAAAATTCACTGAGGCTATACCTTAACTAGAGACGTGCATTAATATATGAGGCCAAAATTAATACTGTACTACACATGCATACAGTGTCTGTAGCTAATGTTAACTTTGCCTCCTGACTAAAGTGAGCTAGTTGAGTTTATTCTTTATATAATTTTGAAGCTACATATACTGTAGATTTACTTTTTATACGTTATCTTGTCAACCAGTATTCATACATCACCAGTTAGGACAATTCATCGCACAAACCTTTTAAAATGTGACCGATCCCGTGCAGGTTGTTGCATACAGTCTAAAGGCATATTCTTGGTCGCCCCAAAACGCATAACTAGTTATGCTATCTACTGCGCATCCCCAAGTTTTGCCTTGGAGGCAAAACTTGTTCCGAGATATGCCCTTAAAGGCAAAGCTAGTTATGGTCTTTCCTTATTTGGAAAGTGGGCGGAGATGAATTACACATGGGACAGGGATAGTAGATGTATATCACTTGAAAAATACATTGTGGATAAAATTGCTTAGTTTGAGAGGCTTTAAATGAAATGACAATCAATACCTCCGTGCATTGAACTGGGAATGGAAAATTTTCCAGCGACACCTAAAAATACTATGGGCTTCACAGGGCGTGTCCGAATGGTCTCTCCCTGGTTTCAAGCTTATAACCATAATTTCTTTGGGATAATGTCATAAAAGACATTGTTATTCATAACAGATGTGATTATTTTTTAGAAAAAGTACACAATATTGAGTATATTGCTATGGAGACATTTGAAAACAAAAACACGAAACCGGACGTAGCCGAAACATGTACGATGCCAGCTCCATCTCACAAGACGCACAATAACTTTTCCTGAGAAAGTGTAAGGCAGCCAGAGTTGCGCTGCGTACCATAATTATGTATTTGTGCCATAATTTGGTGTCTGTGTACCATGTACCATGTTCAGTCAGGGACAAAAGTTCGCTCCTCGTGGTGAAACTGAATCACGGGAATGAGACTCCAAACTGACTTACCCTAACTATTGTATCTCGCTTGGGGTCGATGCTGCTTCATTTTGGGAGGGAGTAAACGTTTGACCCCGACTGTACCATAATTTTGGTCAGATAGGGACTCGATTGTATTTCCACACCCGTGGGATGAGAAAGCCCGCGACAATGGGTCCTGTAGGAATGCAGTGAGGTCAGGTCAGGTCACGAGAGGCGAGGTGTGACAAGAGCAGGGACCCAGGGAGGCAGGAGTT